GCGAAGCTCCAATAATAAGAAAGGTCTATGAGATCGTTGACACACATTCAAAGATTCTTTTTATCCATCTTTCATGAAACCGAACCAAAATTAATAGGAAAGGTATATGAGATCGTTAACGCCGATCGTTGACACACATAAACCGAACCAAAATTTTTGAACAACCTACATGGATCCTTTGACTCTAGAACCGAGAGTCTACCAAACCGTAGAATTGAATGCCCAAAGGCCCCAAACCTATATTAGTCATTTTTTGTCACAATTAGTCATCTTTTCATGAGAACTCATCTCAAAAGGACACTTTGCTCAAAACATAATCTCAAAACTCCCCCCCATTAAAATGATTTTCTGTTTGAATTAATTTTAATCCGAAAAATAGGTAAGTTACCTTCTTACCCTAGCCAAAACTTAAAAATTATATCTTATACCCGAGTTTTATCCGCCCAACCCGAGAAATCGGATCGACCCTCGAATGACCCGAGAATCTCAATCAAACTCATCCCTAAACTGAAAATATTTTTGCTGGTGAAATCATCTCCGAAATCAAAGAAATCAAAACCGTTACTCTCAAAATCAAAACCGTTCTTCGTTCTCTCTTTCGTCAAACTAGAGATCTCAATTTCTAACTCGAGCCCTTTCGAATTGATATCTTCTCTCGATTCAATATGGTGCGAACAAAAATATTTTCGAGAAGGAAGAAAAAGAAAGATGGAGAAAGCTCTGTTCCGGCGGCGGAGGATGAAGGAGGAGAAGTTGGAAGGACTGAAGGAGGAGAAGTTGGTCTTAGTTTGGTTCCAGCGGCTGAGGCGGAGGAAGTTGGATGTCCGGAAGTTGAAAAAACGAATGAAGGAGGAGAGGAAGCTGCAAGGGTTCATCCGTGGATTGAGAGTGAAGAAGAAAAAGAAGACAACGAGTCTCCTAAGAAAAAGAAGACGGGCATAAAGAGGAAGAGAGGAGGAAGGGAGAAAACGAGTCCGCGGAAAAGAAGGTCGAAGCCTATTATTGAGGAGGTAGTGGGGGGAGATGATAGGGAGTTATCTCCGGTTGTCGAGAATCAAGAAGAAGATAATGAAGATGAGAGGAAGTCTCCAGCTCCTCCTCCGGCCGTGTCGTCAACCAACTCGGGCGACGGAATGGTAAGTAGTTGGAGAGAATTCAAAAATTCAACTACTAGGTTTGAATAGATTTGGAGAGAATTCAAAAATTCAACTACTAGGTTTGAATAGATTTGGAGAGAATCAAATTGAATAGATTTGAATATTTGAATAGATAGGACTATATGTATTGGTAAAACTGGTATAACTAGGTTGAACTATNTGTCTTGGTAAAACTGGTACAAGTANGTAGAACTATGTCTTATATAACTTGGTGATACTTGGTAAAACTGTTTGTTGCAGGATGCCAATGATGAACCAATAGCAGTAAAACCTATGAATATGTACTT